CTTTCCCCAACTACTTCTTTACAGAATAAACATTTCGTTCTACCTGGTCTCTCGTTTCATCTTCACTTCGGACAAGGAACAAAGCCCGAAGATCGCAATTGCAAGGGTGTTGCCTATTATATTAAACTACTGCAATTATTTTGCTTTTTGTTACTTCAGTTCAGATTATTAATTGAGAGTTGTATTTTATTTATTTCTCTGAATATTACTTATGATTTTTTTTGCCACATACACAACGTGGAAAGAGCTGCAAGCAAAATGTCGCAAACTGCATAAGACTGGTAATCACACGTCAAACAACATTAAGAAAGGGTCTTGCCGTCTAGCTCAAGCCTTTTCGGTCATGTCGGCTCTTAAATTGGCTTCTTTCCGACCGCTTAAGTAAAGTAGGTCGTGTGAACAATGATTGCTTAAATATTCTACATTTGATCCTTGATTTTGAATGCCTTTATATACTCCAGTACATGTTATGGAAAACAAAACGAGAAAATTCTTTCTTGTACTCACTTGGTAGGAAATTGCGTATTGTTTACATTTTTTACTTAATTAACCTTATATTTCGGTTTTAAAAAAGCTTCTTAATTGCCAAATTATTTTAAACCTACCAACTGCTTCAATTTAATTCAAGGTTTACAAACTGTGCGCTATGTAAATCCTGTTTGAGGAAATGCACGTTTTCGCATTCCGTTTGAAGAAGAAGTCACACAGTTCTCATAGAATTTTGCAACAGATGTAGAACATAGTGTAAACATTATAAGCTGCATGAATAAATTGACGTAATCAATGTATCATGAATGAACACAGTGGTAAAAATGACCCAAATATAAAGTTTTCGAAACAATTTTTTGCTTTCTTCGAGTGTAAAATTTAAAGGCGGCCTAAGTTGCAACAAAATAATTATAAGAAAGAATAATTCCGTCCACTTTTTCTATAAAATATATTTTAATTAATGAAGGCAGTCAAACTCCATGGTGAAAATACATACTCTTTTAGTATTCATTTTTTAAGAATCTAGATTTTATAAGCGATCATTGAAGAGCCGAAACCCAAAAGTGACTGAAAAGACTTGAGATTAGACAGCACGATAATCAGTATTGCAATCCTAATTAATGTTGTTTTGCGAGTGATTACCAGTCTTTCGCAAATTGCAGCATTTTTGCAGCACTGTCCATGCTCTATAGGCTTAAAAAATGTGGCGGACATTTCCTTAGTTCTTTATTTCTTCTGACACTTATTTCTGCGATGTGGTGAGGCTCCGTAATTAAAGCACTATTACCATTGCTCATTTTCCTGGTCCTAGTGATGATAAAGCGGGCTTCTATAACCTACGGTTTCCGCGAAGTCAACTAGTTTTTTTACAGATTGTTTAAAGGCATAACTAGAAGAACTGAGCTGCATTAGTTAACATGCATTCATTTTAAGGATTTTAACGTGTTTTTAATATCAATTGTATAATTCACGTTTTAATTTCCCAATAATTATCTTTTTGACGATAATATCACGCTATATCTTAAGCATGCAAGAATTTTATGGGAATATTATTATTATTATATGTTATATAAGAAAAACAAACCATTGGAAATGAAGATATTGTGTTGTTTTTGTTTGAGGTAGCAGCACACAAACATGCTGTGCTGTACAAAGCAGGATACCTGGTATTCATTTACATCAAGTATTGCATAAATAGTATTGTTTTTTTAAAAATAAAGGTTAATTGCCTTACCGTTTCAGTTTATTTGATGACCGAAATGAGCTGGCGAATTGTCTAACGTTTTGTCCACATTCGTAGACCACGGAGGGTGAAATTGGTACCTTGTCCACGTCGTGAAGAATGAAGCAGTTTATGTCATATAATTGGTCGTCATCGTTGGAGCTTTCCTTCACCGCTCTAACCGCCACATTAAAGAGTTTGGCTCGATTGAAGGCTGTCGTACCAGCCTGTTCTGTAACAATGAGAACATATTGCTTTCTCTGTTTGCTGAGAAAGGGCCACATGTGATGTAAGAAGGCGTACAGCTGTTGGCTTCGATTTCTGTACGGTACAATAATAGCCACCTTCTCCTTCGTATAATCAAACTCCGGCATGAAAATTTCCTCACTCAGTTTGGCATTTACTGCGCCGATTTCGGATTGATACTGTGATCGTGGAATGATAGAGAGAAGGTGTTGTGGATTTGGCAGCCCTCTGAGACTTAAAATTGGCATGACATAACCGGTAAATTGCCAATCGAATAAGATGAATATAAAGAATACGAGTCCGCAACTTCCGGTAAGACGCAGACGACAATTAAGCCTGAAAACTCTGAGCCTGATCATTCTAACTGCGCAGCTACCGCCTGGAAAGTCGTTTATATGTGTATCAGTCGTGGTGCAATCGATCCCACATCTTCATCTCGAACCTGTTTTTTTCGTAGAGTAAGTCAGCTGTCTGGCGCAAAGCTGAGAGTGTACTGTCTTCTGATTGGATTACTGGATAAGCATGACGTAGACTCATGTTTTGCTTCTGTATTAGAAGCCTAGCATAATAGCGATATATCTTGGCAAGGCAGTAAGCTTAAAATATCTGTTTGAGCAAGGCACGGAAAAAGAAAGTTTGGAAGCATAGTTTTCCCGGTAAGAACTTAAAAATTGTAATGAAAAATTTTAATGGATTCATAAAATTTCATGAGTGCTCGTCAGTTGCATCCAC